GATCCATGGACAATGCTGGTCGTTCTTCCTGGCTCGTAAAAAGGATTTGGACATGGAAGAGAATAATTAGGAATGTATACTTGCATTTGCCAACCATTTGGTTGGCCTACAAATCCATCAGCTAAGGAATTTCCCTGTGCATAGCCATGAGGATGGAAGTAACCGTTTCTTGAAGTTATGGATTGGCTAGTATTAATGGAGGCTTCTAAAAGATCCTCCCAATCAACATTGTCATCTACTGTCCACTGTATCAGAGGCTCCATTTCTACGCCTTTCGTCTTCTCCTCCACTGCAACCTTCTCTTCAACCTTGGCGGAGTTAGAAGTGGCGCCACTCGCTGGCCGTATAACTAGTTGTTTGTCACTATCATCTTCTGTTAAAGTTGGGGACATCAAGGTAGATTCCAATGGGGATACAGTTGATGAAGAGGATTGATCAGTCAGTTGCCACATCCCATCAAGAAAGGATTCAAGTGCACGAATCTGTATTTCCGGAATTCGATCAACGAAGGGATATTCATAAAAGCCACAGAATCCCATAGACTTGCACCAATCATAAAATTCGCTGAGTTGGTCAGCTTGATTTGCTGCCTTCTTGTAGATGCTAAAAGCAGCCACAGAATTTCGATAAGGCAACTGAATTAGATTGTCTAAGACTTTAACAATCTCTTTCCTGTAAGTGGTGTAGCAGGTGAAGCTATCTCGAACCACATATTTCATTGCAGATTGGACAATGAAGCTTCTAGCTGCTGAACCAGTAGGCCAGCAACTAATGACTCGGTCTATTAAGGTTTGGAGTTGAGGTAAGATCTCTACCATTCTTCCCAAGTCCTCCATTTTTTCTTGATAGCTCTCGTATTCTTGTACGTATATTTCTTTACTTTCAACGGACACGCAATTCAGGGCTTCATCAAGTAGATGAGCATATGATCGTATGAACGCCGTATAATCCTCAGAAGACGATGAAGAGATATCACGAAAATCACATGGGTTGAGAGACAACAATCCATTGGCTCGAGCCCATAACAGATCTGCATGAAAGGGGCTTGTATCAGGCACTGATCGGAGAAGCCGGTGGAGGAGAACGAGACATTTCAGTGCAACTCTCCATGATTCTGTCTTGCCAAATCGTCGAGTAAAACTTAATAAAAATGCCTGACAGGATGATGGTGAAACTGAAAATATTTTTAACAGTTCAAGAACATATCTGTCTGGCAACGGTAAATCTTCAGGAGAAGTTGCTTTGACAATTATAAAATCAATATCACAGAAACCTCCATTCGTGGCGATTTTCGCATAGCTAACGCTTGCTTTCTCTTTTGCACAGGAAAATATTCTTCTAATCCTCTTTTGCATCTTGCATATGAGTTCAAGTTTGCCAAAGATGGAGCAAATATTCAGTTACTCACAAAATGCATCCAAGCATGAGTGAGGGTAGATGGATGGTCGTAATAAGAAATTTAGGAGAAGCCTGTCTAGGTTGTCAAGCCTCAAGACTAACGACATAGTTGTGCCTAGGTAGTGGTACAGCATTGTCTTTATCAACTCATACTTGGACAGCTTTTTCTTATCTGAATTGTTTGTTCTCAACGGTAGGTAGCTGCAAGAATAATTTGTTGTCATTTTCTAGATAATTGAAGATAAGCTCATGTTTGGTTTGGCTAAACAATATAATTTTAGTAGATTTTGATAAAAATTGATAAAACTTGTGGTTGAAAAGTAAATATAAGTTATGGTTCTTATAACATGTGTGGTTAAAATGAGTTTATGGGAAAATGAGTTCTAAAAATTGGGGGCCAAACATGGGCTAAATTTGATCCACCTAATGTGAAAACTACACTTTGTTAGATTCCCTTATTGTACTTTATCTATTGAGTTCTTTAGATCTTGTATTTATGTTCGATAAAACCTAGGAGGAAAAGACACTGGCAGCTGTATATCAAACAATATTTGCCTACATAGATGTCAATCTGTTGAATTTAATAATTAGTATTTGGAAAAGGAGGCACAGGGGCCTGCTTAGGGTGGCAAAAAGTTATGTTCTAATGTTTATTAGAATTAGCTAGCATTTTTAGTGAGCTCGCAAAGAAGACATCAAAACTGGTCAAGAGGCCTCGATGGCTGCTAAGTCGAGTTCTCCTTGAGGAAAACAGCATAAATAGATCCGAAATTAGTAGATTATATAATTAGCTAGAAATTGGTTTCTATTCAAGAGACCTTACTCTAAACTCCCTGGATTATTTTGGTTGAGTCAACTTGTTTTCTCCGCTCCAAAATCTGCATTTTGTTAGTTCAATTGTCAACACCTAGTCAATTGTTTATAAGTTCTATATTGGCTGTACATGAAACCTCAGCCAAGCCATTTCTTTTTTTCTTTTTCTTCTTTTCTTGAAATCCTAAACATTTCACAGTTCGTGTGTGTTCTCTTTACGCGGACTTCCTTTCAATAATTTAGTGGGTTCAGATATCATGCACGAGCAATGTGTGCATGAAGGTATACATCAGACGCTCACTAACTGGTCATTCAAAGCACCAATATTTTCTACTTTCAATAATGTAGTACTTAGGTATGAATGAAGAAACATGAGTTATTTCCACAATACATAAATTGAATTCCTATGTCTTTGTTTTATAATTATAATATGAATAACATTTTAATTTTTCATGGGACATATAAAGAATTCAAATGTCATGCTTACTAATTGCACGTGCGAAACTTACATAATTCTCTAAATTTAATTACACGATATTAGAATAATGGACATCTATTAGAAAAACAAAACACGACTTTATTGACGACTATAGAATCAAAATAACTTTAGAAGTCGTCTCTTTTTTGCCTCTATAATGTGTAGTATAAAGAAGTCTCCAAACAAAATTTTCTTGATGATGGAAGCAACAGACATATGATTAACTTCCATCAATTATGTATAAACAGCAAGCAAGAAGAGAAAACAGAGAGAAGAAATAGAGAAAAGGCGAAGATAATCGAAAATGATAGAGAAATCTTTTAATTGCATTCAACCTCAAAACATGTTTTAATACCAGAAGTGAACTCTTTATACAGGGTTTAATATGTCCTATATGAACTAAGAAACTAGAGTTTACCATGGCTAAATAAAGGTAACAAAATAAGAAAATCAATGGAAAATCGAATTAAAAAAATTCCGCATTAACTTAATTGCGATTATGCTTTATTCATATTTTAAATGCTGCATCGCTTCTATTCATATATCTCTAATGTAAGCTCTACACGCATTAATCACTTAACTGAGTCCAATCACCGTGTCTTTAAATTCATTCTATGCGTGTAGGTTAACCGAGACCTTTTAACAAATCTTACTAGACCATCGTTATGCTTTAGACAAGCTAGAGACTAAGGAAATCCTAAGCTTCACATTTTGGGCATCTTCTCTTGATGTGGCCTTCTTTCTTCTTAACTTCATCATAAAAAACACAATCAACTAACAGGTACTTACTATCAATTATAACAGCAACATGCAGGGACGGACGCAGAAGTTTAAAGTTAGGGGGGCACAATCGAACTTGGAAAGAAATTTGAAGAAATTTTACAATCGAAAATTTACGTTCAAAAAAATCATACCCCATGTAATTTTGTATCCGAAAATTTACATGAGATATGACTAGATGTAAAATTTTGAAAATTTTTTATGTCATATTCCATATAAAATTTCCTAATAAAATGATGGAAATTACATTGAGAAATTTGTATTGCAAAAATAATAAATGTTAATGAAATAGTTGACGTTTTTTTTTAAAGAAAATGCAAGTTAAACGCCTTTCTTTAAAGCTCACGTTTAATGTATTTTTAACTATTTTC